GGGAGATGCGGAGAACTGGGTTGCTCTGAAAGTGGAATGACCTCCAAAGGTTGCAATTCAAATCAATTTGGAGGGCTAAACCTCCTAAACATGGGTTGGCCCTCAAAAAGCATATGATCAAGTTGATCCAGCAGCAAATTTAGTGGACCTTTTTTTGACATCCCCCACTCAAGCTGTTGTCCTGAAGGTTAGTTTTAGCCCCAGAGGACATATTAATGCCATAATACACATGCTGCATATGTGTTCTTTAGTTTTCTTCCATAAGCCTTATACTCATACAGCCTTGACATATTTAAAACCTCCAATTTGGGTACCTGACATGACACCTTGGTGAGTTGTCGAGGACAGACCAAAAGAAGATCATGATTCTATTTGTTCATATGGTATACTAAACACCTCCAACACATGGTTTATTTGATGTCATTTGATCATGTCGGGATGTTCACCAACCAAGCTTTCTGGAAGATTGGCCCCCAACTGACTAGGGTCCCTCGGTTGGTTTGCAGTAAATTTTTGTTGAAACTCAGGAGACCATATTGTCCTATCATCCATTGCGAGTTTAACCTTGTCCCTTCAAGCAATTCTATACAGCACATGTACCATGTCTGACCAAAGATGCCAACCGTGGTGAAACATGAACCCATGTGGCAAAGGGATACATACAGGTCATAATTGGCGCAAGCTCAAGATTTGTGTGATTTATTTTCTGAAGTGGTCAGCCTTTGTGTCGTCCCTTGGACCTTGAATTGTGACTCATGCCTATACATCACCAGTGCATCAAATTTGTGTTATTCTCACACAGTGCAAATATGCTGACGCATGTCTATCGAAGTCTGTTGATAATCACCCCTTTTGTCTCGCAATGTCTCGCAGAAAACAATGCAAATCTTGGTGACTGGTAGGGTAGGTTGATGGGCTGTTTCTGGGCCGTGAATGGAGAAATAAGTTACCTTGGACCACATTGTGTTGATGTTGTTCAATTGTTTGTTGGCGGCTAATCCCCCATATCAATATGTGCTTGTCTTGGTTTCCGGATGGAAAGACACCACGTATCCAGACAGACTACATACAATATCCCACTAAAGGTTGCGGACAAGCCGATCGACAAACTACCACACCATGGCCGGTTTTGCGACAACAAACGATCAACCACCAAAAGTACCAACTTGAGATACATTTATGTTTTACAGCAAGTTTTAAGATGCTGTAACCCTTTGTATTCAGATATATATACATACTTTATGTGTTTCAATCCTACATGATGATGTATACATAACAATAGGATACAATAGGTACCTACAATTACATACATATACATACACGGTGGTACTCCCCCAGTTGCTGGTTAAGCTCTGGAGTCAGCTGCCAGTTCATTTGGGCCTGAGAAGATGATCATGTTTCCCATTGGTTGGTTGATTAATAGAGGGGTTTGAAGAAACCCCTTTAACAGGTAAATGATGATAGATGGTATACCAAACCGGCCCCTCTATTTTTACCAAAAGGACATTATATATTATTTATTAATATGTATGGCTGATTGATCCAAGGTAGAGATGTTTATTGAAGATGTTGATTTTGCTGATCAGCCGATGAATGAATTGCGCAGAATACTGGAGGGATGTCCCAACCATACTAGCCATTGATCATTATGGATATGTCAATGGATTGGTTTAAGGGAAAATCTACAGGAAATCATAGATTTTCCCATTAAATATGGTGCTTTCCTGTAAATTTTCCCTTAAACTAATCCATTGAATATATCTATCATAAACCCTAGTTACTGGAGTTATAAACTAACTTAGCCAACTATCAAAGATCCCAATATATAAAATTCACTTCCCAAACTTCGCGCAGGGCTGGCGATCCAGCGCTAGTGCTGGAGGCGCAGCGGAAACGCTTCAAGCTGAATGCGGAGTCGCACTTCGACATGGAATGACTGGGGTCAGTAATCATCATTGGATTGTATATATGGCAGTGGGTCAAAACCTTGTACCCCTGGTGAACATAAAAATAGCTGGTAAATGGATGTTCATCCCTCTAAAAATGGTATTAATAGGTATTGATTCATAGCCATATTATGATCTGGGTAAATTATAGTGACCTCACTGTGACCTCTCTGAAATCATAGTTAGGGGAATTATCCAAATAGCCCAGAATGTCAGGTTTCAATTATGGTATTTTGCCCAGATATGATATGATATACCCTCCGGTAACCTTCCTATAAATGCAGGTTTTATATGATATATATATATAATATTATATACCTAGACCCTCCAAAGACCACCAAAAAAAATCAATTCAATCTAAGAATTCTCATTGTGGAATGGGTGAGAATACCCGCTATAACGTCTTTTGACCATGGCATATATGTTGGCAATTCATGAAAACATGGATATTGATTGATACGCATTTAATCTATACACATCTATACACCCTGGAACGAATGGATCGATGTGCATCAATGAACAAATGGCTAGACCTGTCATATGTATATTGTTTATATATATAGTTATGCGTACATTTGTGCTGGTAGATAAAACCACTAAGACCATGGATGATATGGGTAAAATTGGAAGACGCACTTGGACACATGCTTGAAATTGGGTGATGTTCAAGGCGAGCTTGGGGGGAGATATATTATATGTTGGTTTTGGATGGTTTTGGAATATGTACTGTATGTTACTTTGTATGCTTAAATGATAATTCTAACCCATATTTAAATAAATTTGACATTTACATACATTTACTGTAAGTTCAATGTCACTCGAATTTGGCTTTGTTTTGAAGGGAAACTGAGGTTTGTCATGGTAAGTGAGTTTTTCTACGATGATGACCATTCGCACTTCGATGCACATCCCAAAATTGTTCCCACTTCCCCGCCGCTTGCGGAGAATGATCGACCAGCATGACTCCAAAAAGATAAAACAATCATATCATGGGATTATTGATAGCTAGCATGTAACCATCAAGAAATGTCGAAGCAGCATCATGCAAACCTAATGGGGGGGCCATAACTCTGACTCTGAAGAATCATCCCATGCCGCAATTCTCAACTCTGAGCACCAGGAAGTATTCCACTTATGCCGAAACACCAAGTAGAAGTAGATATGTTACTATTGATAGACTATTGATAGACTATTGATAACTATTGATTCATAACTATGATAGCTAAGACTATTGATAGACTATTGATATGAAACTTGTGATTCATAACCCTGAGACTATTGATAGACTGTTGATAGCTAACTCTAGATTCCCAAGCACCCGTGTTCTGCTAAGGCTGGTGGAAGAAGTGCTGAATTTGGACAAGCCCTTCGGAGATTGGAGACCGGACAACCTGGGTGTACCAACCATTGGGGGATCATTTTATCGTTGCATTTCTATCGTGGAGATAATGGAGATGGTGCCAATGGCATTCGGTTCACCGCAAAAGACTCCCTTGTGATCCTAATTTGATCTAATGTGTATGTTGATCAATTCCGAGTTGTAGCTAGTTGTTGAAAATTACTTCTGGCAAGCTTTACAGGCAATTTTCATTTTGTATGTGTTTACCACGTGTTTTGTGGTGGTTTTGGTTTCAGGGGGTTTAGGGGTCAAATTTCGAAGCATCCAAACATCACCGGATGCATCCCGATGCCCGATTCTGGCACCTTGTACCCTCTGGTAATGACTAACATAGCTATTGAAAATGACCATAGAAATAGTGGATTTTCCCATTGAAAATGGTGATTTTCCATAGCTATGTTAGTTTACCAGAGGGTATCTCATTTTCTCAGGTATTCTTGTCATTCAACGCCATGGGTCTGATTTGTGGTCCCCCAAAATCAAGTCTCAGCGTCCACAAGTTGGAGTCGTTCAAATTCTGCAAAGTTTGCTCGTCTAATCCAAAGGTTTGTTGGTGATGATACTGTAATACATTCATGACATCCGATGCGAATGACTTGCAATCTGATAAATCAATGACATCCCGGACTAAGCCATGATATTATATGATATTTCTGTAAGAATATCCCATAATATCCCATAACAATGTCCCAATATGAATTATTCCGCAATAAATCACAATTGCATACGGGTTCTCATTTTGCTTACCAGATCTTACCAGCCGACCGTTTCAGACTGAAGCTGATTCAGCAGTGGCCCAGGTCCGTCAGAGAAAGTATCACCAGTGGCTCACGCTTCAGAGTGGGTCGTTCAGATGTTGGGGAATAGCAGGCTGCTGAAACCTTGGTTGGGAAGTTTGTTTACAGTCTTGGAACATCTTGGAATTATGGATGTGTATCAAGGTTGTAGGTTGCGGATCTGTTCATCTTTGGCGTTTTTTGTCCCAGTCTTTCTTGAAATAAAAATGGCGTTTGATGGAAGGCAGCCATACAGATATGGCTAGGTGTTCTATAGGATGTTTTAGGGATGCCATCGGTGAATTTTACCACTGGATCAACGAACCACGAACCAAACACTTTCCAGGTTGCATTGATCGGAAGACAGCTTATATGTCAGAATATTTTTGGGATAGATCATTGTCCTGTAGTCCTTGTCCGTCAGACGAAGTCTGGGAAGCGTCCACCGAAAAACTGATGACGATCTTATGTCAGACTCGTTGAAATCCACATATGGACTTGTCATTTTAGACTTGAGTTGTTCTTTTTTTGGAGGGATCTTATTCTATAGTTAGTTTGCATAATCGTGGGTTGTTTGCAATAATTTGTGATCTAAAGCCCCAAATTGCACCTAAACCCACTGTTTAATAACCATTTTCTCAATTGGAATATGGACATAAACCGGCAGCTACTGTAAATTCCACATGTTCAGACACATCAAAATATTATATTATTGTTGCTTAGCCTATACATATATATATATATTTATATATATAATCAATCCCATTATACAAATCCCATGTCATGTAATATGCCACTAATTTCTCCATTAATATATCGTTCATATCCTATAAATCTCCTGGACTATTGGGTATATCAATTCCCAGTCCCATCACCCACCTTTTTCACATGGTTCAACTTAAGGAACGCAAGACTTGCAAACGCAGCTCAACAACCTGCAGAAGGTTCGTGCGAATCGTCCATTGCCATGGTGGTGGAGGTTTAATGATTGTCAAACATGGGGCTTTCAGTTTTTTGATCATCAAACAAATGGCCAAGGCATAATTTTTAATAGGATATTTTTTATTGCCCATTTCTTGGAAATAGGGTTTGACTACGGATGGTAGATGGAATTGAGTTTGCAACGTGACTGAATGGACATCTAAAGTACTCTCTCGCATAGTGTTAGCGACAAAAGGGGGAGGCAGACAAGTCACAGCTCTGGAAAAAAAAAAGCAATAATAGTTTCTTGAAGCATGCTATCCGAGAGCTTGAATCCCAATGCTTTGATTTTGGTCTTGGAAACCTCCCGAATTGCTAATTTGCAAATGCCTCCAGCAAGAGCCATGATCTGGATGGCGTCAACAGTGTCAAGCCTTGGTCTTCCCCCTGCAAGTTCTGAATTCCACATCATTCCACTACTTTTCGGCTTTGGTTTTAACCAGCCCCAAGTTCTCCCGGGGCAGCAATGGCACTGGGCGCCAGGGCATCATTGCGGAGAGGAAGAAGCAGAAGCTGCCGTGCCCCTCGGTGGATCTTCGGTGTGATGAGTGAGACGATCCAATGGCATGTTCCTTATCTGAAATACACACAACCAATAGCAATCAGCGTTTCGTTTGGGGCATCTTCAAATTATATAGATGGGGCATCTTTCCATCAGTTGTTTGGGTGGAACATAATATGGATCTATTTGTTTGGATCATTAGCATGAATTACCCTCTGGTAAACTAACATAACTATGGACAATCACATTTTTTAATGGGAAAACTCACTATAAATGGCCATTTTCAATAGCTATGTTAGTCATCACCAGAGGGTAATACGAGTAAACTGAGATCATGCAGCATGCGTACAACAGGTTCCTCGGAGCCCAGAGCGAACTCGAAAGCGCTGAGGGGTGACTTCCTCGCTGCGATCCAGTCACCAACCCATTTCCTGTTTCAATGGATTGGTTTACGGGGAACATCATCTACCGGAAACCATAGATTTTCCCATTAAATATTGGGTTGTCCTGTAAATGTTCCAACCAATCCATTGATTTTTGGTCCGGTGTGGATGAACAGGCCCGACTGAGGTGACGAAGAACTGGCAGAAGCGGCAAGGCTGAGACAGCAGCTGAAAGATTTGGAGTGGCTGAGCGCAAAGGGGTTACCCTTTGGTAATGACTAACATAGCTATTGAACATGGCCCATTTATAGTTGATTTACCTACTAAAGATGGTGATTGTCCATAGCTATGTTAGTTTACCAGAGGGTAGAGGTTGTTTGAAAGTTGGAAGTTGACGCTGTGGATGATATTTGGATGTGTCTGAAAATGCAGTATGCCCCCAAAATGGCAATGTTAATATGGAACATTATGACAAACCGCTGGATTCGGACGTACACAATTTTGGAAGATCAAAATTGGTTCTTTGATATTTGCAGGAAATACTGGTGGCTGTTTACATCCACATGTCATATATACATACATATATATGTTATATAATTTGATGTGTTTGAAGCGTTTGACTTTGTAACGTAAAGAAACGCATCATCATTGACGATGCTTGAAAAGTAAGGCTTAAAGGTAAGGTTGGGGAAACACGTATGAAAGATGTATAATATGCATGGGTCAGAATAATGCTGACAAATGCTTGGCATGTCAGGGTGGGCATGTGTACGGACTTCCACAACTTTGAGCATCCAATGAAAAGAAAAAATAGGTTTGTTCCCGTTTGTTCCAGCGGGAAAATTTCTGCGCAGGTACCTCAATGTGTCTGTATAAACTTGCCAATCTGAAGGAATCGCGCTTTCACCTGTTTGGGGTCACAGGTGGTGTTTAAAATTCATGGTATGTTTGAAAGATGAGGTTCACTAGTGCAAGAAGAATTCACTCTTCAATGTGTTTAAGTTCTAACCTTTCGACAGCAGCAAACCCCAGAATCCGATGAATCCCGGGCAACATCTAGGTTGGACACCGCATCATGCGAAGTGAAGCGGGATGAAAAGCTGAAACTGCTGGGTGACTCGGTTTGGACCTTGATTGAACTCTGCCCACAGAGCCAGTCAACAGCCATAGGAATGTTTGGCAAAGATTTGGCAGCAGCAACTCGTCTAATATGGGATCCCAAACATGATTAATGATTCAATTCCGGTCATGCCAGCTGATTTCTGCGAATTAAAAATCAAATGTTCATGTGGTCGCGGTAAGGCCAATTTAATAATCCAGTGTTGGATGGTTTCTCCAAGCTTCTGTCAAGTCATTGGGGGGAAGGGATTACAATCCAGCATGGTTGGAATTACAACATTCGAGAATGGGAAGCTCTATCAACCAGGCATCGCTCAGCATGATGAGAATCAGAATCCTGTAGCATCCTGTAGCTAGCCACAATGAAACATAATCATAAGACTAGGATAATGGTGTCACTAATGATGCGTTGGGATTCCAGAAATCATCTCAATGTCATGCTTTATTTCTGATTTGAGAATATGTGAGAAAATTGATGTAATTTGATGTAATTTGCCCAAGATGGGTTTGATCAGGATCTTTTTTTCTAATGTCTATTCTCCTGGTGAAGGGCGGAAGCTCAAAGATTGTATCACGGATGGGAGAGGCTGCCTCATTGTTCGCTTTTGTAGCACGCTTGGGACGGTTGAGAAGTTGAAATCACCATCTGCTGAATCCATTTGGGAGTCACCCAAACATCCCAGAACTCATGCTGAAGATCCATGAAATACTTGCCAGCTGCTTGAGGCAATGTTGTGGACCCTTCTGTGCCTTTTTCCAATGTGGAAGAGGACAACGAGGTTGGAATTCAGCCTTTACCAGCTGCCGCTTAGACCCTTTAAGGGGAACCCCCAAGCCGCAGGGTTGAGCGAGCAAGGTCTAATCAGTCTCAGCTGTTTGACTTGCAGCGTAAACGAGGTTGGCATGTCTAAAAATGCGAGACACAAATATCTCACTATTCTGTCAAATGAGGATGGATCAATACCTATAACTTATCGATATTTATCGATACTTATCTTCATTTTTGGGGGGGATTAAGACCCATTTATATACCAGCTATTTTGGAGCTCACCATGCTACCAGGGTTTTGACCCGTAGCCAATCAATTGTTGATTGGGGTATCAAAAAAAGATGAGCAGACCCTACGCAACAGACGCCCCACTAAACAAACGCCCCATGTACATTCCGCTGAATACCTGGTGCTTTTTGGGGAGCTTGAATGGGTTGGCCATGGTTGGTATTCCATGTGTCTTAGTCGCCTGCCTTGTGTTTCTTGTTCAAATCTTCTGTTTGATCACTTGGTCCGTGATGGTTTGTGGTGTGGCTCGGCTCAAATCTCTATGTTTTCCCATGCCATGCATAGATGGTAAATATAACAGAAGTAACACTGTTCAAGTCCAGAAATGTTTGTCGCATAAATTCCAGGTCAGAACACGAGACCCAAGGTATTTACCCCTTCCCAGACTTTTCGTAAGGGAAAATGTGACCCGTGAACCCTGTTACATTCTTGACGGTAAGCAAAAAGGACATGGAATATCCGGTAAATTTTAGATCCCTCAAACCAATGCATTGACAGGTTTCACGCTGCTTACATCCATATTCTTGGAAATCAATTGGCCAAATATGTGGTCCCTGAAGGACTAATGTGAGTGAAGCAAGAGGATCCACCATCCCCAATCTTACCATAAATGGGTGGTACAAACCATCAATTTATTGTTGCTATACTAAACTGGTTGGTGGTTTCAAACATTTTTTTATTTTCCATAATACGTGGGATAATCCTTCCCATTGACTAATATTTTTCAGAGGGGTTGAAACCACCAACCAGTAAACTTATCTAAAATTGTACTATAAAATGCGCCTTGTGGGCCCCTAAGCCGAAACCAATCCCTTGACCCTGATTCGACGAGTTTCGCTGCACAGCCGCCTGCCGGTGGCAGGTCGTGGCTGTTTGGCCGAGAGGGCAAGATATGTCACTTCCCTGCCCCATCAGTGAATTTAGGCATTTTGGGGGACTGCAAATTGTGGATTTAAGCCCTTAATCAAATGCCAAAAATATTCAAAAATGATGGCTTGCTGATTCAAACATCAAGCAAGGGGATTTAACCAATGACTGCAGAGGCTTAATGGGGATATGAATGGGATCTGATGGACATGTTTTGCCAACAATGGGTCCAATATGATTAATTCTGGGTGTGTTTGACAATGGTTTGTATACAGTACCCCAATTTATGCTTAGTTCAATGGGAAAATGACGATGCTGTTTTCAGCCTAGATGGACTGCAACCAGCAACTGTGACACAAGGGGTGTGTCCTCAACACTAGTTTGGCATAGATCAATTGTTTTTGCGTTGTTGAAATGGTTGTGTTCAAATATTTGGTACTGCTGTGATCAGGTGACAGAAACAACAACAGTTGCCAGCTGGATATTCGTCACAGTGGGGCTCGACCATTTGGACCGATATAGCCAGATATAAATGAACTTGTCCCCATGTTTCCCCTAAACCCAATGGAAGATCAAGATAATCGTTGGAAGTGCAATTTAGTGGTGCAAGTATCCTTTTTGCGGACAAAGCCATCACACATTATTGGTGATCTACTGTATTTTATTTGTGCAGTACTATCTCACATAAAGTCTCCCCATAAAATGGTTAGACTTACACAACCAATTGCTTTGTTGCTTCTATCCTTCAGCTACTTGGACCAACCCTGGTTGTACATCTCAATAAATCAGCTGGTTGGATATGTAGAAAATGGATGAAAATGGGACTTAGTCAACCATCCTTTCTTTGGTTTGACTAAGATTTACAGCTTGTCTCCCAGCACCCCTATAGTTTTCGCGTAATTCTACAAAAACCGATCTACAGTAAGACTCAACAAGATACATAAACTGACTGATTGAGAATGTCCATATTACAACTTAAACCACTAATTCCTATCCGTACATCTTCGTACGAATCTGGAACAGAGTTATTTTTGTCAACTCAGTTTCGCCTAAATTTGTCAGAATTTATCAGAACTCAAAGCATCAATGGGTCCCTTATTTTACCAAATAATGGACAATTACAATCTTTACTAGGTAAATCATCATAGATTATCCATTTACATGGGCCATGGCTTCCAGTTCGCAAACTGTTAAATGGAGGTTTCCTAAGTCATGGGGGTATCCTGATCATCCAAGTCATGGATGACCATTGTAGTCTGGCGACCTCGTAACCAGGCATCGCCCGGATTGCGCTGTGGACGCTGCGACACATGATGGCTTGCTATGGCGTGCCTTGGGAAGAAAATCGCGAGTTTTTGGTTGGGGAAAATCGGTCAAGAGCTGTACTTTCCTGTGGATTTTCCATGCAATCAATCCATTGAACTGGCTTTTGGTTAGCCTTTGTTTCTGGATGGATTGTAGCTATACAATTACACTGGAATTGCATTGGGTCAACACCAGGATCCAATTGAACATGACACCAAGTTAGCAGTGAATAAACAGCCACCAAGTCTTGAACTCTCTTTGGGATACCCATCAAGTTGATAAATTATGGTAGTTCCAATGGCGAAATGATGATCAAACTGCAGATTTCGGGGTACGCCGGTTACAATACCTCCTTGGACATAGGAGTTGGAACGGCCAAATGGGAGTTGGAAGCAACAGTTCTTGAGATTTTCGAGTAGAAAAACAAGGGAACTTCAGTGACACTGAATATTGGTGACATTCTCAAAGCAACAAAATGTTGACCATCAGTCAACACTAGTGATATCTAAGCCCAAGAACAGCTCTTACTGAACAGGTGGCTTGCACGGGGCCCAGATTTGCAACCCATCTCAGGGACAGTTACCTCTTCATCGTATCTGCGGCAGTTTTCATAGGCTCCAGAACTCCTGTGGGTTGAGGTAGATCAACTTAACGATCAACTTCACTTGGCTCAGTGGCAGGTGTTTCTGACCTATTTATATATATATATAATATTAAAACACATATGAAAACATATATTGAAACATACTAAAACATATCAATCTGGCCTATTAACATATCTTAAGCTATATTAAAACATACTAATTTGACCTATTAACATATAATTAATATATATATGTATTCAAACCATGTCAACTTCCCATCTTTTTGAGGTCCAATCAACAAGTTACGCCCAGGCATTGGTGGTTATGATCCTGACCGCGGTGCCAAAGTTGCAGGCTGTGTGACGAAGATGATGATGAACTGGAACGTCTTCATGAACCGTTATTTAGAACTAGATGAGAAGTTCACTGTAAACCACTGTAGTAACTATATATACTGTAATATATGTTATACATATATATATATGTTTTAATGATTTTACTCTATGTGTTATATTCTGAAAGTTACGTGATTCAGTGATTCATACCAGGTCAAAGGTGTTGTTAAGTGTGGAGGTAACTTGAACCTTCAGATGGTCCCTTTGAGCTGCCACTGATGTGGGATCCATTGCTCTAGGATAGGGCGACTTAGTTTTGTTTTTCTCTTCTGTCACATCATCAGACACTTATTTAAGAACTCCAAGGTAACTCTGGAAGTGTCAAGATGTTCGATTTTGTTTCTCTTGAGCAGATAATACCAGATATATATATATAGATAGATAGATCAACCACTGAACAAAATTCAACAAAATGTTTGTACATCGCAACATATGTTCTTTTTGCCGCGCAGGAAGCCGTGGATACTTTCTGGAAGATGTAGGCGCTGATGACCTGGTGATGATGAATCAACCCCCAAATGATAGGTTGATGGAAGCCATGGTTTGCCATGGTTTGCCCACATGAATCCCCCACCAAAAAGAAGAGAAACCTATGAAACCTACTAATTAGCCACTTTTTTGGGGATGTGTTACTATTTTTCTATCCTTTTTCTGCACCTCTTTGGAAGGTTACTATATATCCAGCTACCTTCCAATCCATCCCCGGGTGAAATCAGCAGCTTCTGGGCTCCTTTTCAAATGCGTCGCTTCGCTCAGCGACTGAAAAACCGGGCAGCTTTGATGCAGCCAGACCTTGGTGGCTCATGTTCCCAGCAAGGCTTTCTTGGTATTTCTGGGATTTTCATGGATGTATACCAAAAGGATCCAAAGGGATTATGTCTGGAAGTATTCAGATTAGCCATACTAAGAGGATTCTGTCTCCAAGGGAGTGTGTCTAGGTACATACCGATACAGTTTGTAAACTGTTTGTGAGGTGTCTTTGTGGGGGTGTAATCAACCTATGTCTGAGGGCCATAGTTCCTTTCAGAAAGTGTTCCAAAAAGAAGGTAAAACTAAGATAGAACAATGTAACCATCCTACACCTGAGGTCCTTAATTTCTGGCAGAAAGTGCTTAAAAGAAGGTAGAGATGAGATAAACAAATGTAACCATCTTACACTTGAGGTCCTCAATTCCTTGCAGAAAGTGCTAAGAAAAATGGTGGAGATAAGATAGAATCATTTAACCATACTACACCTGAGGCCTATAATATAATAATTCCTTGCAGAATGTGCTTAAAACAGAAGGTAAATATCAGATTTTAAAACAACGCCATCCTATACATAAGGTCCATTGTTCCTTGCAGAAAGTGCTCGAAAAAAGCAGGTAAAGCTAAGATTGAAAAATTTAACCATCCTTCACCTCAGGTTCCACAGTTCCTTTCAGAATCAACATGACACATGTGTAGATTGTTATCATATTATGGTTGGAGGGTCATAAGGGGGCTAGATAGGAACCGTGGCAGAAGGGTGTTTAAGTTCGATCATGTAGGTACATAAAGGGGGTTTACCATGGGGACGCCATAAAGGTTCTTTTGAAGTCCTTTTGAGGTCCATTTGAGATCTTTATTTATATTCTATTGTTTTTTTCCAAAGGTAGGAGGCAAATTTGAAGACCTTCAACATCTAATTTTACATTTATTTAAAGTTCAAGGATTTTCCAGTAATTTGCAAGGAATAATATACCTTCTATACCTCTATGTTACATGTGGAAATGATAAAAGTGTAGAAAAAGTGTAGAATGTATTGGAAATACCAGGCAATTGGGGACCTACACACTTCCAGTTTGCATTTTTGATTTTCTGCAATTCTGCAGCTATTTGCAGACCTTCACACTATTTTTTTACACTTTTTTTTCATGTTCTTGCATGTTTGAAAAAAATGCAAAGGACAATATTGAACGCCCCCCTGCGTTTTTAAAGAAAATAAATGAAATCCCGTAAAGAATGAGGGGACCTACTAAAATGTCATCTTGCAAATAAGACGCAGTTAAAAAAATAAATGCTTGCCAACGTTTAATAGGACCACCTCCTTCAAAAACGTCTAATGTGTGTCTTGCCATTTGGGTACGCCCCCCTCCTTAAAAGGGTAGTGATTATATATATATATATGATATATATATATAATATATATATAATATATATATATATAATATAATATATATATATGATTAATTATGTATACATATACATACCTAAATATACAGGTGGCCACTAAATGCCCGTGGCCAGCCTCACCTAAGGCTTCGAGGATGCGTCCAAGGCCTTATTGGCTCTAGAGGATCGGGGGGGGCACAACACCAAGAAGTCCAAGAGCAAAGCGTTCCGTGGAAAGATTGCAGCTTGGAAGAAATATCTGGGTTTCAATAGGGGGTGCCCCAAATCATCTCATCATCTCATTAGACCTTTTTAGTTTTGCAACCTATGGTGACTTGGGATCCCCAAAAAAAACAATAACCCCCAAAATGCTGATTTCACAAACCAATATAGTGACTTAAGGGGGATGTAATGGTGATTTATTTCACCAAGATTTTTGTGGAGGTTTCCTTAGGAAACCTCCCTAGAGCAATGGGATTTGATGGGAATATCACGGGTATATAACTATATAGTACATATATATATATATAAATAACCAACTATGATTTTTGGGTGTGTCTGAAAGTAGGGTATATACCCCTCCAATGGCCATATTGATCAGGGAAATGGTGATTAATCAATGCACTTGGAGGCACCCTATATTCCGACAAACCCACACAGACCACACAGAGATGGGTTATTCTATCCTATGCATGGAAACAAACATGGTTTTTTTGTTTGAGTGAACAATTATTTCTATCCAGTAAGAAAAAAACATGAAACACCCGTATTGGAGTGTAAAAGCACTATATTATCAACTATATCGCAGTCAAAAGCCGTAAACACCAAAGTTTGAACCTCAGCTTTAGCGCATTGGGATCGTCCCATTGTTATTATTATTTTTCATACCCAAGATTTATTGGCAGTTCCAATATTTAATAATTACTCTTGTTATTTGGGAAGTCCCTATATCGATTATGTTTTTTTTTGAAAATAGATTATTATTGGTTTGTTCTGTTGCCTTAGATGGTATTTTTTGTGGCTAGCCACGCCCACCGAGGTGGTGAAAGTGTCATAGACATCGGCGTCAAACTCGAAGGACCTCCGCTGCAAAGTCAGCGGCGAAAAATCGCCACCCGCAGCGTTCGGAGAAGAAAAGAACTGGTTGGTGGTTTGGAACAGTTTTTATTTTTCCATATATTGGGAATAATCATCCCAACTGACTAATGCTTTTCAGAGGGGTTGAAACCACCAACCAGAGAAAAACTGGGGGCTGACGTCATTCAAGTGAAGCAGCAAACATGTCGGTGAACATCCGAACTAGACGAAAACTTGAGCGGCACACAAGACTCCTGCTTTACTGTTGTAGATGGAGTGTGTTGTTATTCTTCTTTACTGTTTTGAATTGTGGTTTAGCAACTCAAAATCCAGGGCTTTTGGTCTCCCACTGCTCTTGTTTGGAGCGTAGCAACCTTCGCTGTTGCAGACTGGAGTAATCCTCGGTTCGCATTGGGTCAAAGCCAATTATAGCAACCCAAAAAGACTGTAAAGTAAGAATCCTACTGAAATGGTTGTAAATTATTTCTTGTGGTTGCTAAAAACAGGATTTTTGTTATGATAGCCACAAGGGATGGACATAAGTCATTTTGCCTGCTTCTTTTCCTCTCACCAAGTCTTCTCCGCTGGTATCTTGGGTGTTAGGAGTACTGTAACCCTTCAAACACATTGTTTATTGCGTAAGTATGAAATCAACTTAGTTCTTGATGGTATCCTCATGTATCCGACAGTGCGGGAAATCTATAACCAGCCACATGTTGTAAATTCTGCCCCTGGCCGCACAGCTGATGAATTGCAAACAGGTGTGATGCTGAACCAGGCCCTTCTGAATTTTGGCTTGGCCTTCCTTCGACAACGTTCCTCGGGCCAAGAGAAGAGGATCACAGGTTTTGTCTTGAAGGAAACCATACAGGAAACATCAATGTTTGGTTGGTAAAACAAGGTAAGATTAGAGTTTCTGTAAGTGTTACCTTCAATGAAGCGAGTGAATCCACGTACTTATGTGAAGACATGTTCGCTGCAACCCTGACGTTGCGCCGCGTCTGACTTCAGGTGGCTATGAAGCTAAAGTTGATGTTAATACCCCAATCAACGTACTGTTCATAGGGGGTTGCGAATTTCGATCCCTGATGAAGATAAAGCTGATGTTATTACCCCAATCAACATATTGTTCAGAGGGGGTGGCGAATTTTGACCCCTCATGAAGATAAAGTTGATGTTGTTACCCCAGTCAGCATATGGTTCAGAGGGGGTGGGTTCAGAGGGGGTGGCGAATTTTGACCCCTCATGAAGATAAAGTTGATGTTAGTACCCCAGGCAGCATATGGCTCAGAGGGGGTGGCGAATTTTAATGTGATGATGATGATGATGATTATTATTATTATTATGAGCAATTATGATTATGATGATGATGATCATGATGTTTGTAAGTGTGGAGCAACGTCCGGGTTGGGGCGGACATGTTTAAATGTTGTATACATAATGAGGTTTGCAGATATCCATAGGTATCTCCCAAGCATGGAGCCCAAATGGACCAACAATGCGGGTCATGCTGAGTACCAAAGCAGGATTATCAAGAGCTATCCACGAAACATGGTAGTAGAACTTCGGATGCCAATAAAGCAGTGAATCCTGGGATATCAATGAAATCTGGATTTTAGGTTCAGAAGCCAACAGAAGCATGGCACAACTCCGCCCCTGGAACCCTGAGGAGGCTATCGCGCCATGCAACCACCCTACTTCATGAGGACGCCACAGGGCCGTTTGGGACAGAACTGTGGTGACTGGCAGCCTGGACTGTAGCTGTAGCTGACACACACACACATATATATATATGTGTGTGTGTAGTTGTTGATATACATTAAATGTATTTTAATTACTTGATGATCAAATGATGAACCTTGGATGGGTAGATTAGTCAGTTAATATCTTGTTTTTTTTGCTGTGCATGGGATCTATGGTACATACATATATATATATATATTATATTATAATAGCAGACACTAGCAAACATGTTACTTTTGTTGGCTGTGTCTGTGAGATTGGGCAGACACTAGCTACCATGAAGCCCTTAAATTTCCATCATCAATGGTTGCCAATGTTTGTGCAATGGGTTGACCTGGGTGCAGGGCACACTGATCTTAAAGAGATACATTGGTGAAACAGTCACATGACTAGTGTAGATAGATCAGGATGAGTTTTTCGGTGCTGGAGACTTCAACATCTTCAGGCACCATCCCAATGTCAACATGATTTCATTACTTCCAAAAAAAACGCAGATGCGAGTAATTCATGTCTGTTCTCTTCAACAAGGCACCACGAATTACACTAAGATATACATGATACACAGATTTCATATAGAAAAAGCTCACCCATCGCACCCCCAGGGGCCCCATCTCCGCAGGAGGGATTTGATGTGTGACTTGGCGCAGCTCAGTGATTTTGACGAACAGCTCTACAAAGTGACCAAAGGATCCCACGGTTTTCTCGGTGCGTGGAACAACTCTTGACCTGAAAAACGGGGATGATTATATATAAATAGATATCACGGGTTTCAGACTATGACCGAGACCCTTCCCGGAGGTCCCCACCAAGAGGCAGATGCAAGTGCACCTTTTCACTCCAAGTTGGGCTCGGTAAATTGAGCCAGTCAGTTGATTGGCCCTTGAGCCAAGTTGCAACAGTCGGAGGACGTCTCAACGACTGTGAAAACTTTAAAAAGACCTTAGTGGGGGTGCAGTGGTACTCTGTGCATGTTTCCCAAACCGCACTCCCCCTTCCTGCTTGCAGGAATCCAGGTTCCCCAACACCAAAAACAAAAGCTTCAGGGGTGGCCACGTTTCCTCTGGGAACTCGCCCTTCCCCCAGCCAGAAGGGCGAAGACCCTCGTGTGCCATAGTCCCAGGCTGGTGTTGGTTCCCCCTTCATCCAAGGGTCGCGTGGAGTTCCACTTCGGGTTGACTCCAAAAATTGAAAAACTACAGCCCTAACTTCGTAGGTTTTGAATTCCCTCTCTCACCAGCGCTGTCCTCGAAGAGCGCCCAACGGTGTTCTTTGGGTCCAGCAGCTGATGAGCTTTTCCCTGTATTGGTCTTTTCCACCGGCAGCTAATGATCTTTTCCTTGGGTCTTGTTGATCTTTTTCTCCAGCCACCGATGTACTTTTCCGTGTGACCTATTTCCTTTTGGGTGAGCTTTTCGCCACATCTCTTGGGTCTTGTTTGACAAGGAAAACGGTGTATCCCACCCACTTGTCTTCGACCCACTTGGTCTCCCAGTCAAAATCCAAGGTTATTTTTCGCTCGTTGCTGTCCAGGGTATTCCACAAAAATGTGACCCGGTAAGGATCCAACTGGTCGACCTTTTTCGGTAAAGTGGGGTGATCTGGATGAAATGAATTCTGTCTCCATGTGTAATGGATTCTTGTGATGATTCTTCCATAGTCCCCAGGGGCTGGAACATGCCACATGTCAATGGCCTGACCCTGTTCTTCAAAGCCTGTTACGGCTGGCGGCTTTGTCATCCATGCTGTGCCCTCTCCAGAGATGATATATTCCACCTCACGCATGACCACCTCAGGCATGTAGACTGTCCAGCTGGCTGGGTCTTCAGGACGTCGAATTAAATCTTGTCCCGGACGAATCTTTGGTCTTTGGGCCGGTGGCGGAGTCTCCGGTTCTGCTGGCCTTCTTGGTGTCTGGGAAGACTCAGTGTCCTCCTCCGGATGCTCCTTGTACCACTGTTCCCATTCAGCCTCGGTGTATTTGTTCTTCTTCTTCTTTTTCTTTTTCGGTTCCCATTTGTCACCCCATGCACCATCCCACCAATACCATTCTCCTCCATCTACTTCATAGTAAGCCGCTGCCTTAGGAGCTGCCTTAGAGGAGGAGGCTCGGGTCGTTTCTGCAGGTTTTTCCTTTGGCTCTGCAGGTATTGCCTTTCCATAGACTGATCTCATCCTTGCAAGGTAATCAGCAATTTTTTCTCCTTCTCTCTGTTCCTTCCATTTTCCCCACCCTTCATCATCGGTGGGTACTTTTTCCTCTTCCTTGGGAGTTGGCATCGACGGTTTTTTCGGTGGCGGTCTCCCAGGGGCTTTCATACCCTCTGGCAGCGGAGCTATCGGTCCCTTTGGGACCCTTCCCGAATCTCGCGATTCGGCTGTAGAAGGGCCAGGGCTTTTTTCACTCTCCGATCGCCTTGTTGTCGATTCCTTTTCCCTGTGTGGCGACCTAGATCGCCCTGTTTCACCCCGTCTCCGACGGTCTCTTCCCCTTTCCCTTTTGTCATGGGCGCGATCAGCATCCCTCTCTTCGGTTTTTCTTCTTTTTTCCTTTCGATGATCTTCTCCCGGACGTGGTTCTTCTTCCTGATGTTCATCTTTTTCTACAGTTGGCGCCGCCGTGGAATGACCTTCTCCCCCACGTACATCTTTTTCTCGATCTTTCAGGGCCAACTTCACCATCAGTTCAGCTTGTTCCACCATTTGTCGATTGAACTGAGGAACCACCAGGAGTGTCAAATGGCTCATAAGCCATCGGAAAACTTCCCACACCAGGATGACCATCATGGCATAAAGTATGCCAAAAAACTGACCAAAGACGCCTTGCGAAACATCTTCACCGTCCATAGCTGTCACTGGTGCAGCAAGGCAGACGAGGACGCTTTTGAGCCCAAAACTTTTTGGAAAAATAAATTGCTGCGGACAACCCCAATTCCCTAACGGAAAAACACTTAAATCCCGTTGGTTGCGGAGCTATCCCCTTTGAGGTTTCAGGATGGTTTTTCCCCTTACCTACCACATTAGAATTCCCCAAAAACCCAATTCCCCAAGTTGCAACCAGATCCCACGGTTCTGTGGAACCCGACCTTGGTACCACTTCGGCAGCTCGATGTTCTTTTCGATCGGACCTGGCACAATCCAAGTCCCAATGTTTCTCTTGTCCATCACCCAGGATGGTCTTAGGGATGGGTTCTTCTTTTTCATAACTGTGCAATTGGGCAACATGACCGCGGTGATCTTGTACCCGCAAAACTTTCAAAACTGGTGGATTTTCATCCCAAAAATAAACCCGTTTAGGTTTTGGGTTACCCCTTTTGGACCTAGTACCCCGTTTTAGAATACCCCTAGGTTCTTCTTCTACAGGGTGTTCAACTTGTCCAGGAATGTTCTTCTTCTCCAAAAACGGTAAGACCGACTCCAACTGGAACCGATCCTTGACCACGGATTCAGTGACGCGATACGCATCAGCCAGTACTCGCACCAGCCTTCCAATGGCAGTGCTCAGGGCTTCATGCCGGAAATCGGCTAGTTCTGGATATTCCTCGGCCAGACCAACCACCTTTTTCACCACTGATACGCACCGACCAGCGATATCTCGGTAGTTGTCCCAGGAGGAAGTCTCCTGGTCTGGTTCTTCTGGACGTTGTTCTTCTCCCAGAGGTTGTTCTTCACGATGGTTGGACCCCATTGATGGTTCCTCATTTGGAACCCCGGAACCTTGGTGATTGACGAACCTCCAGAACCTTTCCCAACTGGGCTTCACAGCGATGATCTTCGTCAGGAAATCGGCCACAAGTTTTACCCCTGGAAGGTGACGGATAATCCAACTACCATCCTTTAACCGCTCCCTTAGGGCTGTTGCTCGCAACCGCAAGTGTCGAGTCCTCCACGGACCGTCAGGATTTTCCAAGATGGCTATTGCAGCCGTGTTGTCTCCGTAGATGATCTTCTGCCCGATTTTCCGTCCTTCCACGACCTCTATGAGAGACGCCAGAGAGTCTCCCATGACCATGGATTCCAAGTAGGACATCAGTTCCCCTTCGGCGGTGCTCAACACCACAAAAGCTTGACGGCTGGCTTCCCATTGAACCAACCCTCCACCATAAAAACCTAGGATACCCTGCAGTGATCTTTCGCCCGCAGGGGCAAATGAAATGTCCGAGAACATTTCGACTTGCTGCATCTCCCGGTGAAATGGCAGGTCATCTTCGGGACCACGATCATCACTTGTGCAAACCCCATAGCTGAGATGTTGAGTTTCGGTTCCCTTCAGGTAACCAAACACCTGTTGTGCGGTTTTCACCACCCATTTGGGCCGTTTGTTCACCTGCCTTCCCAATTGGCTGACGGCGAAACTGATATCCGGCCTTGTCCTTATGGACAACCACAACAACTCGCCCACCACCGTTTGAGCTTGTCGGATGTTTTCAAGTGCTGGTTGTTCTTCTTCCGGAAGTTCGGCATCCGCTTTCGTCATCGGAACCGGTCTTGGGTGTTCTACTTGATGTCGATTCAACAGATCCCGAGTGTAGGACTGCTGTCCCACCTTCAACTTCTTGTGATCCCCTTGACCGCTCCATTGGAGCTCGAACCCACAAAATCGAACCCAGCCTTTGTGATCAACTTCTTCAGGAGTGGAGCAAGTCCATTCTTCCTTCAGCCTCTTCAAGAAGCTGTGTTTGGCGTGAGGTTCCGCAAGAACCATAAGATCGTCCACATAGACGACCACCAAACCCACTTGCCGATATCCATCAGGACATACTTCTTCTCCCGGAGCGTCACCACCTTTACACAGGATTCTCCACAAATTTCCTTCCGGCGTTTGTTCCAGCTTGTACTCCTTCTGCATCTCCCCCGGGCTTGCATCTCCCTGCCATGTGAACCGCCGCATTGTTTGGTCGCGGTACACTGCCCAATGGGCAGGACTGGATTGAAACCCATACAGGGCCTTGTCGACAAGCCAGACCTCATCCGGTTGGGTAATCCCAAAATCAGTCATGATCCTGGGCGGAACCACCGCCACGGTTTTGGCACCTTGTTCCACCGGTCGAGGAGCCAGTAGAAAAGCGGTCTTGATGTCCGTCGTGGCTACATCCCATTGGTGATGAGCTGCCTTTCGCAATGCACACCTTATCAGAACCCCGTCCGCTCCACTGGCATACAGCAGAGAGGAAGGCATGGGATCCGCTTCCGGTGATGCCAAGTTGCCGCAGATCACAGCGCGACATTTGTATCTCCCTCCAGCCTTGATCACACAGACCAATTTCCCCGGCACCAATTCGGCTTCAGGGTCAATCTCGGACCTTTTGACTGGTCGGATAGCTTTTGTTTCTGCAGTCAAGGATTTGTACTCGGCGAGCATCGAGTCGTACCATTTTTCCTTTTCCATTCTCACCTTGTGGAGAGGGACTGTAACAGTTTGAAGTTGTTCTTCTCCACCGCTACCATCAGCTTGTGCTGAACAGACCCTTAGTTGGCACACTCGCCTTTCCTCTTCCATCCTTGCAGTTGTTACAGCTTCCAGTTCTTCTTCCAAATCTTCACGATGTTCTTGTAGAAGTCGTAGAACTTGTCCCTGTATGAAACCGTTTGTGGGATCCACTGGAACATTCGACAGTTCTTCCCTAATGGCTTCCACAACTCCAAGGTGTTGATCTTCTTTGACCTTCAACAGGTGTGTCAAGCTAACG